TCCTCCCCGAGATCCCATTCCAGAGATTCTCCCACTGGATCCCACCACCTGGTTTCTGGGTTTCTTCCCCCCGCCCGTCCAGGCCTCCCGCTGAGCTCCCGCCCTCCCCTCCGCACCGCTTTCAGGTCGAGCACGCCGTCCTTGGCCTCCTGCAGGAGGGACACGAACTTCGTGGTGAGGAGCCCCAAGCTCTTCTCGTGCCGGCTGCTGCTGCTGCTTCCTCCTCCGCCGCCGGCGCCCGCAGCTGCGCCTTCCACGCTACAACTGCTGCTGGAAACCGACTCGGCCAGCGCCGCGGCCATGCCGCATCCCCAGCCCGGCGAGCTGGGATTCCCCGGCGGTGGCGGCGGCCCTCCAGCCGGCCGTAAGAAAGCAGCCGGGGCCCGGAGACTAGAGCCGTCTCCAGACCTCTTTCCCGAACGGCTGGCCTGAGGGGGGAGAGGAAGTGACGCTGCCCGCGCAGTTGCTGGGAGACAAAGTTTTGTGTAAGGAAGACAGAACAATTTGGTTGTTGTGTGTGCCCCCTCAGTACAAACTAAGCATGCGAGGAAGGAATGGACAAGTGCCCTTTAGTGTTCAACAGAATGAACAAGGTGAGGAGCACAACTCCTCTTTTGAGTCAGGATAAGAATAGTTTTTATATGCAGATTTTCTCTCCCAGGAGTCTCAGAACAGCTTACAATCACCATCCCTTCCTCTCCCCACAACAGGCACCTTGTGAGGCAAGTGGGGCCGAGAGAGCTCAGAGAGAACTGTGACTGGCCCAAGGTCATCCAGCAGGCTTCATGTGGAGGAAGGGAGAATAAAACCCAGGCCTCCAGATTAAGAGTCTGCCACCTTTAACCACTATGGCTCATGTGTCGCACATGAATGCATATGCCCTTCACCTATAAAGGCTGCAGCATTTAACACTGACTAGCAATCCCCCCTCTAAGTATCAATAAAATGGAAATGTTTCTAATATATAGTTTGTATATATGAAATAATGGGTTAAATTAAAACCTGTATCGAAGCCCCCTACATTTCCAACTGCTCTGTTCCTGGAGGTCTTCTGACCTTCGGGAGTGATTTTTCAAGGAGTACAGATAGCTGTAGTATTGGGAGAATACTATAAAGATCCACTGGGGGATGAGCTCTGATCATGTACTCGATCAAATCCACCCCCACCCCCCATTGTGTTCAGTGCCCTAGTCCTATGTGAATGAAAATGTCCAATTCTAAAACCAATGCAAGGCTAATAGAATCAATCCTTGCTCTCTTTTGTAACCTCTCTGTCACCGTTCCCTCTTTTTTCAAAGTGACTTCCATGCAAAGTGATTTTATTAACAAAACATCAGTAAACCAGTTTAACAATATTATTTATTTTGAAAATAATGTACATCTTTATGGGCAAAGAAAAGTCATGCTAATGCAGCATTTTCCTAATAAAATGTCTCTTTACAAAAAGGAACTAACATCATGACTGCATCTGTCAAGAACACTGCCAGTTATTTTACTGGTTTTGATAAACCAATATAAGCTTGTCAGGGTCTATATTTCAGAGCACTTGCTGAATGTCACCCAGGGCAACTGTAAGTCGTTTTATTTTCTCTTCCATGGCCTTTTTATTGTTTGCCGTTTCCTGAAGTAACTGTCTCATTTCTTCTTCAACTTGGTAAACCTGAAAGTAAATTTAAAGATGCTATAAATAGCCTTATTTTGAATTTTGATGTATCATTACACTCAATACAGCTGTTTTGAGAAAGGACATGTCAATTGCATACTATTTCAGTATTAGTGGAAGTTTATCTTGCTAGCTTTTCCCTGATAGTGTGAATTTATAGAATACATCCCCCACAAGTGTTATAGAAAGGAAGGCAAAGTTTTGACATCAATTGAGGAGGGTAACTGCCTAAAGGCATGAAAAGTGGCAGTTTTCTCCTCTAACTACATGTGAAAAGCCTATCCATGACAATACCATGTCTGTTTAAAGTCTATTATTACATTAAAAGGCTCATTCTGTTAGTTAAATGTAAATTTAAAGAGCAGAGTTAACTATAAGGATAATGTAACAAAATAACCGCTCCCTTAAAATTAAACACCGAATTCTAACACATTCGGTACAGCACTAATTTACTGTAACCTCCCAACACTTTCCTAATTAATCATGTTTTTCAGGGGTTTCAAAATATCTGTAAAACTGCCTCCCTCTGTTGGAAACAAATCCCACAACTTCAAGGTCATAACTTCAGCATTTGGAGCAAGTATATATCTGAGACAGCCTCAGCAACTGAGTGACACTTAAGTCAACTACAATTTACCAGTCAACAAAAATCCGAACAGACATGTGTCTTATTTGGCTGAGGGATGACAAGATGAACTGCAGAACTGAACACCTTCAGCATTATAAATAAAATAATAAATTATAAATAAAATATAAATTATCCATCACCTTTTCATTTGCTGCTACAATTTGTTGTTGTTTTTCATTTGCTAACTGTAGCAGTTCTGCTTGATGACTTGCTAACGTTGATTCAAGTTGCCTTCTGAAAGCATCATCAATAGAATGAAGCTTTTCCATTGTAGCCCTAAATACAAGAGCAACCTTTAAATCTCTTCAATAGCACTGCAATACTGTATCAATACTAATGGGACAAACACACACCATAAATTACATTCAATAATACTCCTTTTCTGCAGGTGCATTATAGTAACTGGTCTATGCATCAGACATTATTCTTAATAATGTTTATGGATGCAGCCAACTTTATGAAGCAGTCCCATTTCAAAAACCTGAATTTTTATCACAGTCATCTAAAGAAAAATTTACAAAAACATCAGATTTTCTTGCTACAGGAACTGGTCTATGCATCAGACACTTCTAACTGGTCTATGCATCAGACATTATTCTTAATAATGTTTATGGATGCAGCCAACTTTATGAAGCAGTCCCATTTCAAAAACCTGAATTTTTATCACAGTCATCTAAAGAAAAATTTACAAAAACATCAGATTTTCTTGCTGCAGGAATTATGCATTTGACACTATGATCTAGATGCTGCTGGACCATAAGGTTCCTGAACCTGCCTACTTTTCCAAAGGCAGTGGGGAAACAATACCAGAAATGTACTGAATTCCAACAGAGAAAATTAACAATACTGGAAATTCATAATGTGCGAAACAGCGTGAAAGAATCCAGCCTCATAAGGGTAAAAAGTGGTCCTTTTAAATTTTCTGCCTAGCACATAAACATTAACAAGCCAACTGTCTTGACAACTGCTAGCACTTTTTACTAACCCCTATTCCCTAATACATGCCCAGTTTATTCTTGATCCTGCAAATTGGATAAGCCTCCAGAGTTGGAGCAGTCCCGCTGTTTTCCTGAGGCAGGGCCTCATCACCAGCTCCAAGGTTTTCCTCAGGTAATATACCCCAAGTTAGGTCATAGACAAAAAGGCACACACATAAAACATTCTCTATTTACTTCTGAGCTTGAAGACTTTTGTCTCTTTCTTCAATCAGGCGCTTCTCCTTTATGTCAAAATTTTCTTTCATTTGTTTAACCTGTGCTTCCAGCTTGCTTAATAATCCTCCTTTATCTTGCCATTTCTTATTCATAGCACTGAAAACAAATAGGCATGATGAGAATGGCTTCAGAAACTATTCACACTGGTGCAAAGAAAATATTTGTCCTACTTTTCAAGCATTAGAAGGGCTTGCGCATGTGAGATTATAACCATGTTTCCCAGCATATCTCAATATAGTCTGTGACATACCAACATGTGCATATGACTAAGTGAGCACCTGTAAGCTTTCTTGATATCTTCAAGCTCTGTGTCCTTTTGTTGCAACTGTTGTTTTAGTTCTTCTTTCCTCTCATTTTGCCTTTCTAACTTTTCTGTTAGCTCTTCCAAGTGCACCTCTCTTTCTTCTAGTTGTACCTGAAGTCTTTTCTCCAGTTCCATACGGTCTTCACGATGCTTTCTTATTTGCTCATCTCGTTCCTGTAAGGCCTTAAAAACAAACATTTCCATCAGTCTGTATTCATCAGTGAATATGTTTTTCTTACTGGGGTGTCAAACAGCTCAGTGGCTTTATAAGAATTAGTTTTCAAAAAGATTCCTTTACTTCACTATTTCTCATAATTCCATAAAAATATCGGGATTGAACAATTAAGAGGTTTGGCAGCTACTGTTTGTCACACTGAGTCTGTCATAAGGGGAAGAGATTAAAAGTGACTGAAAAATAAAATACTGTCTTATTTCAATCAGTGTTAAGAAACACTGAGCACAAGCTGAAGCATAGACCTCAGGGACAGCAAATAAATCAATAAACCCTCCATTAAGAACAATCTCCTTGTGCAAAGAAACAATACATCAGGGAGGGCTCTAGCCTGGCCTGCTAGGGTTCTATGTGCGCTTTTTTTAAAGCACTGTTAAATTATAGGAGACCTCTCCTGTAACCTGACTTGGTGCCTGGACCACCTCATCTGCTGTAAACTTAGGTCTACATTATTTTTTATTGCTTGGACTTGGTTGCAACTACCTTTTGCTGGATTGTATTAGTCATTACATAAACACAGAATATTGTTGTAGTAAAGCAAAGCTATATAACGATATATGCATAGTCAAACTAGATGTAGGCTATATCTTATTAAAAGGAAAAAAAACTTCAAAGCAGGGGGATTTGTACATTAACGTAAAAATGAGAAAACAAAACTAAGCTTCAGATTCAAGGTCATAAAGTCAACTCTGAAAATCTAATAGCCATTTGTTCCTAAAGGCCACCCCCCACATCAAATGGAATCAAGTATTAGGGCCTAGGATATTTGGAATCATAATATTATTGTATGATTAAACGTAAAAACAAAAAAAAAAGACCTCCACATACACAGTAAGGCTTATCAGTTTGTAGAAAGAAGAGATTCACGAGACAAACTGAGAAACACTAGGTTTTTACATATATATTTTTTTTAAAAGTCAAGCAAAGGAAATGGCAAACACTTTGAATCTTTCAGACACTTCTCAGATCTACCAGATCTAGGGTCAACTAAGTGAAACTTCCACCATCAAATCATTCTTACGGACACCGATATATTTTACTTCAGCAGAGAGAAGCAATAGAATCTGCAAGTTTTCTGTCAGGTTATTGTCAATTTCTCTGCCTAACTAAAACTCTGAGAGGGTCCACATACAGACAGTTACATGATGTGCAGAAACTCAGTAGGTACAACTTTCCCTATGAACATGCAGGGACAGAGAAGACTTCACCTACTGTATTTCAGCCTTTCATGTAGCTGTTTAAGCACAAGGCCATTTCTGGAAATAAGGACATGATAATGAACAAGGTATTCTAAAGTAAGCCCTGTATTGCCTGGGACTCGCCTAACTTACTGGGCTGCCCCTCTCCTTGTGAGCCCACTAGAGTGCTCTGCTTCTCCCAAGAGGGC